ATTTCTGATTTTGAAAAACTGTACCTTTGCCTTCCAGTTAAATAATTATGTCTTCACAAAGTTACTGAAATTTTCCGCATGAAAACTCTTCGCGGAAATATGCAGCAAGTGCGGTGAACCTGTAAGCCAACTTCAGCTATAAATTGAGTTAAATAATTTAGTTGATGGAAAAATAATTAATGGCGAAGGAGTCAATAGACAGTGGGGACGAGGACAGTAGAAGGTGAGTTCCTGTCTATGTGTGTAAGAGGGTACAGGTGAAGGGGAGAAGATCTCATCTAAAGGCTATGAAAAATTTAACAGCAGGAGGAGACAGGAATGACAATGTCAGAGAAGGCACGCAACAAACCATGATCCCCAATTATATCTGGCATTTAACCATCCACCCTCTTTACTCTTTTTGTCCATCCCATCAATGCAATAAAATAGGGAAATAATTATATTTAGTTCAGTCACATAAAACTGGTAAAACGAGCTGATCTTTGGATTTAGGAAGTCGGTGAGATCAAATTGGACAAAAAAAATAAGTTACAATGAACTTAACAAATATGTTGCTTCCGTAGTTTTATGCTTATATCTTGTCCAAATCACCTCCTTATTTTTCTCTCATAGATTTTCTTTTGTAAGTACATTTTAATTATCCGAAATTAAGGTGTACATTAAAATCACATCTAAACCATATTATGCATTTAGATTAATAATTTATTATGTCAGGGTTTTTTGGTGCAGAGGCTTGAAATCTTACATATTAAGTCTTTCACAGGCAATGTTTTTATCTGTAGTTCTGGCTACAGAAGTTTATGGTTTATTTTTTAGGCAAACAGTTATTTCAAATATCTAACTTGCTTTACAAAGGAATAAATTACTGATTAAACTAGTTATGATGTTGCTAACTCAAACGATTGCATACAATGAAAAGAGTCCCAACTGTTTTAAATTTGGCTTAGATTTGAAATTGAAGTGAATGTTACTTCCTAAGATCTAATCATATTATATTATACAAAACTCAAGAAATATCTGGAATCCTTTGTTAAGACTAAGGATAACATTTGATTCTGTAACTAGAGTATAATGTTGCAATTATTGTTTTTTTTCCTGCATAATCCTTATGACCTTATGAATTCTGCAGCTTATCAATTCTATTGACAACAGAAAAAAGCTCCCCTTGTTAACCCACAGGTAAGTCCTATGATCTATCCCCTGTAATGGGATTTAATAAAGCTATCATTAAAATTACACTTATTTATACCTGTGAAAAGATTTCTGCCTCCTTACACATTTCTATTTTTATTGCTTTCTTCTGACATTAAAACATTTCAAGTCATCAAACATATTTTAACAACACACAAAAATAAATAAATAAGCAGTGAAAGTAAAAAAGTCTGTTTTTAAATTATGATTTTATTTCTTTGAAGAAAAAAAGTACCAAAACCAACATGACTTATAAAAAAGGTCTAGAGGAGTCGCTGAATATAACAGGTGGAGAAATCCTAACAGCATTGTTTTGCCACATTATTTTAAACCAATCAAATCAGAAGGTTCTTTTGGACATTAATAACCTGTTTAAGGAAAAGGTTGGATTTAGGTTCTTTGTCTGAAGCTCTTTAAGATTACTGTTAGAAAGAGATAAGTCTGTCGTTCAAATTCTGTTCTTATTGAGAACAGAATCAGTGGTTTTATGATATAACTTGATATTAATATTATGAGCCCACAAAATTTTTCCCTAAAAGCATAAAAGATCATTAAGGTGTTGTTTGTCAAGTTTAAAATAGGCCTTTTTCTTCTTTCCGTTCAGCAGTGCATTTATTCTGCCTCCTTTGAGGTATTTTTATTTTTCACTCTCTTTCATATGGTTGAATCATGAACACTGACCTTCACTAACCAGAGAGAGACCTGAAGTGAGGTTGATGTTCTTCTGGGTTCTTTTTCCACCTTCTGGACCTCACTGTCCTTTTAGCCTGCTTTATACTGTAAGGCAGATTCTGTTAAAGTGGTGTCATGATTCTAAAGGTAAGGCAGAAATCAGACCGAGATGTGCCAAATGAAACAATTTGAGAGGTTTAAGTAAAGACATTAATTTTGTATTTTAACAATAAAAAAAGTGGACTTTGAAAAAAACAGTTTTATGTAATAACGCAGTTTATCTTTGCTTGATATCAAAACTTTGATTTTCTGAAATACTTAAGTGCAAGAAAATAGCACAATCAAAGCATGTGCAGCTAAGAAAAAAAGCAATCCATAAGCCTCTAACTCTACCACTCTACAAGAACATGATTTTCTCTATACTTCATTCTTTTA